TTTGGACTCGGACATTGCAATTTTATAATTTTGATGCAGTGGACATTTGGAGGAATATAAAAGGAATTGCACATAAGTAAATTTTTTTTTTATTCAAAAAAGTGAATCTAAACTTTTATTTTATGTTCCGTAGTAAAATAACAGAACATTGGATTCTCGCACACAGAATCTTTAAAATCCAAATCGAGTGGTGACAACTACTGATCTGCATGTATTTTTTTTGACATTAACAGCATAATAAATCTTCATCATGTTATCATATATGTAGAGAAAAATAAATGGTTTTGCATGTATTGCCATTAATATGTTATTATAACTTATTTCTATAATATATTGCGAAATGTGTAGTTGTTTGAAAAAAAAATATACGTTATAGTTATACCTAATAATAATAATAATAATAATAATAATAATAATAATAAATACTGTGAGCTAATATAAATTTAATTTAATGATTATCATATAATATCAAAAATGTAAGTACATGCACCTTTTGAGAAATTATATTTAGGTAATTTTAAGATTGAACACAGTAATATATAAATAAAAGCGAAGTATATATACAAAGTCTAATGCAAATAAAATTAATAAAATGATTACATTTGATCTATACGTAAGAAAAACTAATTCTAGCAGGGATGTAAGTCATTTATTAACTTGTGTGATAAAAAAAACCACATCTGATAAAATCTAGGATCACGCACTTGTGTTTTTTTTTCAAAAAAAATAGTATAAAAATACCATAGATTAAAAAAAAAATACAAAACGCAGGTACATACTACAAAATTATTTATGAAATGTTTTAGAATATTTAAGAAGTTTAATACCTACGTTTAAATGAACAAAAAATAAATCTCTTCCGTTTGAGTCTAGATATTATACGATACTAGAAAAAAACAAACAAACAAAACGTTTCTCTCGCAACTCCGCCGTGCGTGACGGTTTACACGCACAAGAGTGTCAGACGAGATTTAATTATTTCTTACGGCTTGTAGAATTAACTTTGCGAGACCAGAGACATATTTCCATTAGGCACCCGAGAGATGCTAGGAATACCGGGATTTACAAGACAACTTTCGGTGTGATATTTTTCATGATGCGTTTTTTTTCTCCGTCAAATCATTAAGGAAAAGCTAAACGATCTTATTTGTGCGTTCGGCGCAAGAACAAGCTGTGGTAATTATTACGTAAGGATTAATTAATTACACGTTGAAAAAAATTATAAACGCTAATCACAGAACAGTATAGTCTTATTTTAGTTTCAATACTGCAGAGGACTTACACTTGAAAAAATTCCTCAGCAGTAGTCTTCGGTCTACGGTATTTATTATTTATCGTTCGTCATCCCACACTCGTCGTAATATCATGATCGGCATCTTGTCGATAAAAATGAATACTCTTTGACACCCCATACGTGACACCCTCGAGTTCAAGAATACGACTTTTTTGAATTCCGATAAATTCGTGATCTTATACTATTCTAAATACGTACTAGTGTACAGTTAAATACGTCCTAATAAATTACACTAATCTTGTAATATTTGTTTGCCATGGGTCTTTTTGACGCACAGAAAATTTCTAGAACAAACCGTTTAGAAAAATTTTAATATTTTTCAAGATTGCATTAATATTATGTTACATTTTGGCAACGAGTGTATTTCAAAAGTTTAACAAAATGTTATTATCTCTGCCACAAAAAATATTTAAAATAATATTTTCTTGAAAACGCTACAGCGAAACAAAAAAATGGATTAGCGAGATTGACAAAGGTTTTAAAGAAAGAAGCGCCGTAATATATATTTCAATGTTTGTAACTTTTTACTTTAAACCCATCGTTTGGAAATATTATGTATTTTGATTCAACTTCCAAGAGAATTACTAATTTAATAGTATAAAATATGTCCTGATTTTCTATTTATATATTGTTTATACGTTTTGTACACTATTTATATTGTCAAGTTTGTTTATAGGAGTTTAGACATAATTAATAATAATAATAATAATACTAATAATAATAATAATAATCCCATATAAAAGATAACTACAACATCTAGATAAAAAGATAATTTTTTTTAATATAATATTAAGATTCAGTTTTTAAGAGTACACCTTGCTACTACTTGAATATGGGTTAAACGCAGATAATAAGTTGAAATACAAATTTGTTATATGCATCATTATTAGTGAAAAGCATAAATCAATAACCAATATTTAATACTTATAATGTAAAATAAAAGAGCACTTTTCCCGTATGTGAATCATGCGGCGTAGTGCTCACCGTCAAATATATCATAACCAAATATTTAACATACGCAGACCGAAGAATGAAACACTACATACCAATGCATTTAAGTGAAGCCATACAACCTGATATTTAATCAAACATAATCATTATCTCCTTCCCAAAAGAAATCAATTTATATAATTTAACTTAAGACTTAGTTTAATGTGTATTATAAGCTACTGGACTAGTAACCGATGTATTTTTGTTCAATAAAAAAAGCACTTTGTTTGATTTAAATTATTATTATAATTTCTGTATAGTATGAACTATTTATAATATAAAAAATGGTATTATTTATTTAAACTAACTCATCTAGATAGGCGAATTTTTCATCTTGGATAATTAATTAGATAGCTTGCAACTATTTATCTAGATAAGTCTCAATACACTATTAATAATAATACTTATCATTATATTTCCATGTTTCACTGAAACAATATTAAACATATCTATTATGTTATATTTAATTTGTTCAATAATTTAAAAAATAAAACATTAATACTAATTTAAATGAATTTAATAGGAATTTATTTTCACCGTGCACTGAAACATTAGAATGCTTATATGCGGACCAATACGTCAGCTACAGGCTCCATTTAAAATAATAATATTTTCGTCCAACAACCTGATATGGAAGGAACCGGCAAAATGTCTGTAAAATTATTTTTGGCCTCGTAATCCTGTATTGTACCTGCGCTTTCGATATCGAATAATCTCGTGAAACTCGATCGTATTCGCGGTGGTAAAAAAATATAATTTATATAACGTATAATACGATTGGCGATACATTGTAATAGAATGTCACTCGAATTGGTCCGCTTCACTGGCTAGATCGCTTCGATACTTAACATTATATGTACATAATATTATATTTATTGCAACTAAATTGACTTTGGCTGAACAGAACCTAATTAGATTTATCTCGATAAGGTTAAGCCGACGGAAAAAAAAATTATAAAAAAAAATATCTTACAATTATCCACATATTATAATGGTAGTTAGATAAAATTGTACTTATATTTTTTAATATATTGTATACTGTATTATATTATATTATATACACATATATATCTATCTGAATTATAAATGTATTTTATATCAAATGGATCTTATAATGATTCAATAGTGTATACATTTAAAACAACCCAAATGTACATATTCAAAAATTATTTAATCTAATTAATTGAACATGGTTATATTAGTAATGGCAAAGTTTAGTTATGCTGATCCAGAAAGTGTACCAAGGTTTTGAGTGATATACCTTTGTGCCACTTACTCAGGTCTTCAAACTTTTAATGTTTTTAACTAATTAACTATTACTTTGAAATTTGATATTAATATGATATTGAAATTCTTAGAAAAATACTTTGTATTGGAGTACGAAACTAAAATATATACCGAAAGAAAATATTAAAATTAAATTAAATTGATAACAAATAATAAAATACAATTATATTTTCAAAAATGATAGTTTATAAGAATTTCAAATAATGTAAAAAAAAAATTAAAAACTCATGCTTTTTGAGAAAACCGATGTTCGACTTAAGAATCGTCCTATATAAATGTATAGTGTCTACCAATCTCACTCACCCCTACGTTTTCTTTTAATAATTCATATTTTATTCAAATTTAAATTTTTTGGAATTTTGAAGTATAATTAATGTACTATAGAATATAGACCATATTTTCAATTACTTTAATTTGTATACCCTTTGAGGAGACAAGAAATATTCTGCAGCGATATAGCGGTATTTTTTTTCAAATAATAATCATTTTTATTAAATATTAATTTATCGTAAAACGAATTATTTGTGTAAACATTTTAAAACACCTAAATCAAAATCTTAACCAAAAGTTTACGATAAATATATGCCATCAACCTATATTCATATACATCCAAACCTTTATCAAACTAACATCTTTGATTTACAGTGTCACTAAAAACAATATTAGACATTTTTATCAAAATAGATAGATTAGTTTTTGAGTTTCTTATATTATACCACAAACTTAGTAGTAATATATTATTATACTCAAGTATCTTATGTTTTTATAACTAAGGACAGTCCTAAAATAAATAAAAATAAATATTGGATTTTTGTGCCAAAACGAAATTGTTAAATAAGCCACTCGATAGCAACATATGGGGGTTAAAAAATGAAGCAACGGACACTCCCTCGAGTTATAAGGAATGGGTATGTAAAATTTGGTGTCGATTGGTACAGTAGTTTCTAAGTCAATAAACCTCATACAAACGTACATGACTTTTACACAGATAGTAACTAGTGGCTATGAATCTCTCGCCTTCATCTCTTCCATCCTGCCACCAATCAAGCCAACTGTAAACGTTTACATACCGACCGGTGTAAAGACCAGCGGAAGTGATGACGACCACTGGTCATCACTCATTAAGAGTAACAGAATGTAATTCATATGGGTATTTGGTTGCTATAAAATCTAATATTTATTGTACATTATTATTATTATTATTCGTAAATACTGCATACAAATCTGGATACAAGCACAACCGTCTAACATTTACACTCTGGATGAATTTTTAGAGGATTACTTTAAGACTGGTTACTGGATTCTCGTGGTATATCTCCAAACTAAATTTAGACAGCGACTTACATAATATGCACAATAACAAAAATCTAGCACACAAATATCATAATAATATGTGGCTTTAAAATAGTAGTTTGAATTATAACAGCACCTGGATGTGTCCGGAGACACTGGCTTGGACTCGGGCGAGGCGACCTTCTCTAGGCCCCGGGACAGCCGCAGCATTTCGGCGCCGAACTGGTGCAGAGCCGACATGGTGGACTGCGTGGGCTCGGTGTCGGGTAGCCACAGCTCACGGGCGTCCAGTGACGTCATTTCCGTGTCGGTCGACCCGACCGATGGGTTGTGATGGAATGGCCTCGGCGTGCCCCGACAACTCGCACCGGGCGTCGTCGGTCGGTGGTGGTGATCACGGTTGTGGCGGTGGTGGTGACCGAATCGCGGGCTGTCGTCCACGCTGTCGGCGGCCCCGCTGTCGTCTTCAGCCACTGCCGTTGACCGCGAACCCGACACCGACCCACCGTTGCTGCCGCCGAGTTTCGTCGTGCTCGGACTGGCAGTCGGATCGCCACGACCCTTTTGCTGTCGACCGCCACCGGCACCCGTCGACGACGTTATCACGCCGGTTAGTTCTTCACCGGTCGCCGACCGGATGTCCGTTTCGTCCGACCGAGTTCTCCGGTAGTTCCGGCGCAACATACGCCGCCAGCTCCTCCTCGTGTTGTCTGCAAATACCAAAGAAAATGGGTTAGTGACAAAAATTACTCGGAGTCACCGGAATTAATGGACGGGTTCGTTGATACTGACTGAGGAAATTCGTTTTTTAGCCTAACAAATTATTCTGTGTACAATCTACTCGATGTCGACTCTTTCGAATACACCGATAACAGTCCGAGTGTAAACCACGACCGTTAAGTTTATGTCCTTCAACTTAATTTAAATATTTTGAAAATTATGCATAAAGAAATTGCTAGGATTTCCCAAAATGCTTTTTAAAATTTGCAAGCGCAAATGTCGGTAATTTTCTAATATTTTCGCAAATCATGGATAACTTTAGGTGGATTTTCTATGTCGACCTAGAAAGTACAAACAGATTTAAAATATTTCCCATTTTTAGCAATAGTTTGTAAGTCATTTTCTATAGTTTGCAATTTAGTTTCTCGACTAGGACGAGCTTTCGAAGTTTTATACCCGGGTTTTCAATACATACACAGATAGTCCAAACTGGTTTTAAAATAGACATTGAAGGACAGCTAATACAAATGTTTACAGTTGAACCTTGAACATAAGTGTATGAATTGTCTTTACTAAACTCAAAAAAGTCTACGCTGTATAAGAAGCAACGCAAAAGAGAACATATCAGTTTGTAGTTCCTGGTCGATCTGAAGAACACTTTTCAGCGATCAATAATTCCGTGCGTCAGCGATTACTGTTCGTACACGAGCATAGCACACAGTGATACGGTCACGTCACACAACTCACTAATGATGATTTACTACTCACGCACGCACTTAGAATGTTTTTCTCCCGCTGAATTCTCTAAAAAGCGATCGGTACCCAATGCGCTCATAATGATAGTGAAAATAATTTAATTCTATTCATTGGTTCTTCTGAGGTCAAAATAATACAATTTAATCAAGGTACTATACAAATGATATATTATATGTATCATAATATCAAATTTACATACATATATTTCACGCGTTCGAACGAATCGAATTATTAAGTTTGAAAACTTCTATAAGGATCGATTTTATAAATGCTTGCTAAGCCCACAACTTTTTTATTTTTTAATAATGCATTTATTAAAATTATGATTTTTGGAATATATTTTAAATAAACTGAACAAAGTTCAACCGACTTTAACCATATTTACAAACATTTAGATTTGTTTGTACCATTAAAACATTTCACTGTGGCGATATTTATTTCATTATTTTCAAATGAGGACCACGGTCACACTGGCCACGGATTTTGTTTTTGTCTTACAAACGTACAAAAGACTCAGTATTTACTATTTGATGCAACGATGAATTTAAATCCCATAATACTAATATATTATTATTGGTACCCGATAATAATATACCGTAAATCTTGATGTACTTTAAATGTATTTCTATGAATAAATATTTCAAGAGCTATTGTACGCAGGTCGAACTATTTTGTTGATTGCACTTCAGACATAATACAATATGTAAGTACGTTTTTCAAAAAAGTTTCACTTTTGTCTTTATATCCACGACTTCGGCGTACGTCAAAAACGGTGTTTTTTAATTGAACGAAAACTTTCAAAACTCAAAATAAATTGGATTCAAGCTACAAACTATTCAGTAGGGTTAAAATTTGATATATGATCCAACGTTGGACGATACGCATAAACTATTCACATGAGGAATGTCTCTCATAGGTATTCGTATGCAACTATCCATAAAAAATGTATAATGTAATATAATATATTACATTATATATACATTTTATATTTACTTATATACCGTCGAGAATTATTGTTATCGTAAGATGACAAATCGACCGAATCACAAAAGAAGCAAACAACTATTGACAGTACAGTATATTATATTTGTAATGTATCTTGTGACGTATATATAACAATAACACACTTTATAACACATAGAGGCCAACTGTTAAAATAGCGATATTTTGTTGTTTTTTTTATTTCGGAATCATAAGCCATGCTCATATCTTTCCCGTGAACAAAAAAAAAACACATTACTATTATCCCGCTAAATACGTGGTCACCATATTTATTAAACATTAATAACAGAGAAAACAACAGAGAGAAAAAGCAGCCCATTTCTGACTTAGGCATATGAAAAGAATCAGTTGTAGGAAGAAAATTTGTCTATTTTTAAAATCAAACAATTGTGTAACTGTTATAAAAGTTTTCAATATATGATTTGTGTGTCAAATGCTTTTCTATGGTACTTTTAAGGATAAACGATTATTAAAAACCTATACAAAACTAAAAAAGTATCATTCAAATGTATTATGATATGTCGTATCAGTATTTATATTTAACAAATACAAAAAAAAAAAAAAATGAAAAATCGAAGTATTGCCGCCTAAAAAATAAAAATTACACAATAAAAAAAGGAAATATTTTTGATTTATAAAAATATAGTATTTAAATTTAAGTTACTAATTAATAAAAAAACAAAAATAAATTGTATGAGCATATTGATCTAAAAATGAGTAATATTATAAACAGGATGTTAAATTGACTTTGTTTCATTTTATTTTATGTATTTATTTTATTTCTACACCACTCGAATTTATGAAGGACGAAAATATAACCTTTTTACAAAAGTGAATAATTTAAATATATACAATATAATGTTGGGTTAATTTTTAAAAAAAGGTTTGTACCAAAACTACAAGCACTTGATCGTCAATTTATATACCTATTATTTTAATCTTTTTCATTATCGCAACTGATTTTTAACACGGCGTATCGTATAGGCAATATAGGTTGTTGATGATTGTTCAGAAGAGCAACAATAATTTATAATAATATTCTTCATTATTTTATTCGTGGCATTTTTCACATTAATCAATACTTTTTGTTTAATTGATATGAAATCTTTATTGATTTCATAAAAAAATACTTTTTAAAACTTTACAAAAAAATATTCAAGTTATATAAAACTGGCAGGCAACCATTCAATTATTATATTATAGTTCCTGGAAAATACGATCTCATACGAAGCGCATTATTTGATTAATCGCTGGTAATATTCAGTGCGTGTGATAAATTATAAGTAATGCACAAATAGAGTATTTTGTAGAAACGAAAAAAAATTACTGGGTAATCTTAAAAAAATATTGTCTGAATAAAATTTATGTAAAGTATGAACACGGGAAAGACATCTTGATAGGTGATAATAGTCAACGCTCGGTATCCATTTTTTTTCAGATGATGGTGTAAAAGTAAACGAGTTGTGTGTTATTTTATTTTTATTTCAGTGTTATATTTAACTCTGTTACGTTGTCATACGACGAGGGTACGGCGTACGGAAAGTTAGAAAAAAACATTTATTTTCACTGCCGTTTGGAGTGCAAAAAATTAAAATTATAAAGCATGGTCGCGCGTTGCATATATTCCCGAGGTCTTTTGGGTTACGTCATAATATTATTATACGAACCCCTCTGAAGTTTTTGGAAGCTGTTTTATTTATTTTTGTATATTTCACGTCCATCTGTTGATCGGCTTAAAAAGTACCCATACTCAGATTAACCCACGACCACTGTAGTTTTAATGAAAGTATTATTTATTAGTATTGAGATTCAAAGTTGTTGAGTTCGGGTTAGTTATCGAAAAACATACGTACGCGCCTGAATAGTTTCATCCCGATTTCAATCAGTCGATTTTCAAAAGTTTTCATTCCATATCGAGTATGAATATAATATTAAATTTCGATTAACGAAGAACAAAAATAATGTTATCTACCGTTTTACAAATATATAATACACTTGCTGCTCAAATCAGTGAGTACTTGCTTGTGCACCATTTATAAGCATAAAAAGTATGTTCAACTATTAATAGCAAAATAATGTGATGCAAAAATGAATATTCGTACAAATTATATTGATAATATTTATTATTACTTCATAGCTGGACTAGACAATGAGTTCAAAGTTCGTTTAGTTCATTGAATATTATGTCTATACGTTTAGTATTATAAAATTTATCTGTATACCTATTATATTGTACACACAGATTGTATATTATTATAACCCTATTGTTGTTTTACGATTTTTTTGTGAGAATTAATACAAAACAATACTTTTTTTATTAATGTTCGAATACCAGAAAGTATTGCTTTACCTATTCGAAAACGACGGAACAAACGTTTTTTTTGATTGATGATTTTTGCAATAAAAACAGCAAGCACCAACAAAAATTAACACTTTATAACCCCTGATTCGTACTTTGTACAAGTTGTGTAACTGATGCGTAGGTAAACCTTATATGCGTATAATATATATTTATTGAAAATGTATAGGCACATTAGTGCACGATACTGATTTCAGTGTTTAAAAGAAGACGGAATTTAGTTTTATTGTGTCTGCCGGAAAACTAAAACGTCGCGATGATCGCGTGGGAGGTCGTTTTATAGCGGAAAATGGTGACGCCCTAAAATGTATTTGTAGATACCTAGTCGATTATTTCGTGCACAATATTAAATTCCATTACCTATATAATATATAAATAATATTAAATGATTTTATTCGTGCACGGAATTGTATTACCTATCGCAGTAATTTGACGATTGTAGGTGTCCACGAAGTTTGCCCCCGAATACATAATCAATATGCATTAAAAATTTACAACATACCAATATAATTGGTATTTGGATGATATTGAATGAGTTGGTGAAAAATTTCAATAACCCACGATGACCAGCTGATATTATACGCTATGTTTTATTATACGCCCTCCATTTACTAGGAATTTTTCAATTTGCGTCCAAAGTAGATGTGTAGTATAGACAATGTGTAAAAGAAGCACACAAATATTGTATAAATCGAATGTTATATTTCACAACATATTCATGTAGGCGATGACCGTCGGTAGTAGTGCCCCACAGGACGGATGAGATTTTAGCAACTTTGCGTCGTTCAGAGGGCGTAAGCGTGTGGGCATAATATACGTTATTATTTACATTTGGTAAATTCATAGTTCCGTGTCGAAGTTTTATAATTCGAA